AGCGCTACGCGCAGCGCCTCGTCGCGCTCGGCCCCCATCACGGGTGCTCCATCCAAGTGCGCCGCCGCGCGCAAGCGCAGCACCGCCCGCGGGCCGCGCACGCGCAGCGCCGTGCTCAGCAAGGCGTCCCACTCGGCCGCCAGCGGGACCGGCCTCGGCGCGTCGATCCGTGCGCCCCACACCCGCAGCAAGGCCGCCAGCACGTCCAGCCTCTCGTCCAAGGCGGCGGCCGACGAGTCTGCGTCCACCACCACCCGCGACGCGCCGGGCGGGTGCGCCGCCGGCGATGGGACGGCGTCGATGCCGCCGACGAGCGCCATCGCCGCCCGCCGGCACGCGTCGCCGACGGTCGGGTCGAGAGGCTCCGACCCGAGGGGCGGCGGCGCCTCTGCAGTGGACCAAGCGCGCTCGGCCGCCGCACGAGCCGCCCGGTCGAGGAGCTGGCCCACGCTCCCAGCCCCACACGCCTCCACCGCCTCACCCCGCCCGCAAAGCTCGGCGCGCCATCGCTCAAAGAGCGAGACGACGAGTGCAAGCGCCGCCGGAGCCGGCGCGTCGCGCGGGTCGGCGGCGGCGGCGAGCAGCACCGCCGCCTCGGCCTGCGCGTCGCCACCGGCCGACACCCAAGCGCCGAGCAGAGCCGCTGCGGCCGACCCCTCGCCTGGGCAGGAGCGCGCCGCCTGCCCTTGCAGCCAACGGAGCGTGCCAAAGCGCCGCCACCGCCGCCGCACCGCGCTCAGGCACGCAACGCTGTCGCCCGCGCCACTGGCCAGCGAGCCGCCCTTAGCTGAGGAGCTCGCTGGAGCAAGAAGCCGGTCGGCGAGGCTCTGGAGCGCAAACGCGCGCAAGTGTGGGAGCGACGCCTCGAGCAAGGCCTCCAGCTCGGCGATCGGAGCTGCGGCGCAAACGTCAACCGCTGCCCTGGCAGCCGGCCCCGGCAAATCCGTGGCGTCGAGTCCCACCAGCAGGTCGCGCAAATGGCAGGGCCAGAGGCGCGGGAAGAGGGACGTCACTTCGCCTCGGCGAACAAGCCGCTCGTTCTCGAGGAGGGCGGGGTCGCTGCTGAGGCGGCGCAATCTCGCGGCGGCGAGAGCGGCCCAGACGGCGGACGCGGTGAAGAGGCGCGAAGCGGCGGCTTGCTCCGAAGGCGACCCGCCGAGCGCAAATGCGCTCCGAACCTCGCACGCCACGAGAGCAAGCCGGGGCGCACTCTCCTCCGTCACTGCGGCCCGCAACGCGCCTGTGGCGGCCGTCGCGAGCTGCAGGCCGAGCCTGCAAAATCCGCCGCCTCCGACGGCGACGCACGTGACCACGTACAAGTCGCGCAGCCCGAGGGACGTGCCCACGGCGGCACGCGCGAGGTAGCGCGCTGTCCCCCGCAGCGCCAGCAGCAGCTGCGCGTTGTGATCGCGCGAGTAGCCCGACGGCGGAGGCTTGCCGGCGGCGACGAGCGCGGCGTGCGCCTGTCGCAGCCTCCGCTCGGCGTCGAGCATCAGCTCCAGCACGTACTGCACCGCGCTCCAGGCTGGCCCCGCGCCGAGCGACCTCAGCGTGACGCGAGCGAGGTGCACGCAGAGCCGTGCCGGCTCCTCGAGCAGAGCGGCGCAGTGCGCTCCAACCTCGGAGCGCAAGCCCTGTATGCCGCCGCCAGGGCCGGCCGCGACGCCGTCGCCATTCTCGGCGGCGGCGATGATGGCATCGACGCGCTCCATTCGGAGGCCCCACGAGTCGAGCGGCGGCTCCGCCGCCGGCTCGCCCTCCGCACCAGCCGCACCAGCCTCGGGGACGGGAGCGTGCTGGCCGATTCCGCCCACCTTGACGGCCTCGGCAGCGTCCCCCGCTGCCGCAGCCTCCCCGCCCGTCGCTGCAGCCGTCGCCTTTCCTTGCGCCTCGGCCGGCGCCGTCTCTACGCCCGCCCCGCCCGCACCGAAAGCTGCCTCCGACGCAGCCTCTACTCCGGTGCGCGCGGCTGGTGCCTCCGCCTTGGCCTCTGCCGCATGTGTGCCAACCGCATGCCCCGACGCCGCGCATCGGCTCGCGACAGCCGTGGCGGCGACGGGCTTGCCGCCGTTGAACCGGGTGAGCTGCGCCGTCGTGAAGCCGCCGTCGCGCAGCCTGCTGGCCGCGTCCGCGGCGCCGACGACGCTGAAGTCGACGACGGTCGAGCCGGCCGAGACGGCAATCACAGCAACGGCGCTCTCACCCACCCCAAGCGACTCTGCCGCATCCTGCCGGAAGGCGGCGTCAAAGGCGGCGCGCGACGCGACGGCCGACTCGTAGGCGAGGCTCAGCGTCACGGTCGCCTCGCTGGCCGGATGCCCGCTCGCCGGCCTCGCGCCGGCCGGCCTCCCGCCCGCACTGGCCGCCTCGTGCGAGCCAGCGATCCGCTGCGCAAGCTCAAACGCGTCCGCCTATTCACAGCTCCCTCTCCCTCGCAGCTGTGAACAGACCTTGCTGCGCGAGCTCAAACGCGTCCGCCGACGCGGTCCGCGCGAGCGCCCGAATCGCATCCCGACGGGCGGAAGCGTCTGTGGCGTAGCGCGCGGCGTTGAGCTGCGGCAAGTGCGCCGCCACGTCGGACGCCTCTGCTAGCCACGCCTCGACCCGCGCGAGCTCGCCGAAGTGGTCGACGGCGCCCCGCCAGCCCGCGAGGCTCGTCTCTTGCGGCGTCGTCTCTTGCGGCGCGTGTCCGCCCCCCTCCCCAGAGTGAGCCTCGCGCAAAGCCTCGCGCTCGAGAAGCCGAGCGCAGCGCGCAACGAGCGACGGGAGGCTCGCCAACGGCGCCACCGTTGCGCGGTCGAGCGCGCACGGCGGGAGTCGAGCGGCGGAGCAAAGCATGAGTGCATAGGCTCGCTGGCCCAGCCGGCACACCCGCCGCAGAGACGACGGAGCGGCGGCGTCAGCGGCGGCCGCCACCGAAGCGCTCAGCTGCGCGCGCAGAGCGAGCATCTTCTCCTCCGTCGGCCGGTCCGCAGAGAGAGCCAGCGACAGCGCGGGGTCACGCGAGGCGGACACGGCGGGCGGCTCGCTGTCGCTTCCCACGACGCCACACGCGCGCCGCCACACCTCCATCGAGGAGGGGAAGGCGGCCGATGGGCAGTGGGAGAGCACGTGCGCAAGCAGCCGCGGCGCTGCGGCGGCCAACTCCGCCACGTCCGCCTCGCGCTGCTGCGGAGCGGCGGTCAGCATCGCACGCGCCACCTCTATCACGTCCTTGAGCCGCTGGAGGCGGGAGCCACGAGGCTCGCTCCCCCTCCCGCCCGCCGCCGCCTGCCAGTCCTCGAGCCAGATGCCGGCCAGCGCGCGCTTTGGAGCGCCGTCCTCGTCGCGCTCTCCGCCCGTGTCGTGCGCCCACTCGCTCGTCTTTGCCCAATCGCGCAGCGTCGCGGCGGGGTGAGCCTCGAGGAACGCTCGCATGTCGTCGATGATCTGCTCGTTGACCATCTCGTTCGTCGCGTCCCGCAGCAGCGCTTCCAGCCCGTCCTCGCCGACCGCCTCGGTGCCGCCGTTGGCCAGCCCGCTCCCTCTTGCCGCGGGCTGAAGCGACTCGCTCAGCTGGCAGAGACGCAAGCACACCTCCCACGCCGGCGCGTGACCGCGGTCGACCAGCCCGAGCGCCAGCATGCGCGCTCCCTGCACGTCGCCCTCCCCCAAAGCGCACGCCGCCACGGTGGAGTGAAGCGCGTCTCGCGCGGCCGCCTGGCGCGCGCCGGCGCCCGCGGCGGCGGCGGCAGCGGCGGCCGCCTCCGCCTCGGCCGTGGCGTCGCCCTGATCGGGGACAGCGTCGCCGGCGGCGGCGAGGGCGTCGGCGAGCGACTCGAGGCGGGAGAGCTCGCTCACAGGCTCGCTGACCGACGCTGCAATCTCGAGGAGCAGAGCTCGCCGGTCGGAGTGCAGACGCAGCTGCAGCGGGACCAGCGTCGCGCCGAGCGAGCCGGCGAGGCGGGCCGCGTCGGCGAGAGCCAGCTCCCGCACCGCCTCCGCGGAGAGCGGCGGCGGAAGCACCTGGATGCACCGCGCCGCCGCCTCGAGCGCCGGGTCGGTTGCGTCGGGGGCGCCGTTGAAGTACTCTCGCGCCGCAGAGAGGACCAGCGCCTCAGCCGTCGACGCCTCGAGAGGCGGGCAGGTGCTGTCGCCGCTGGCGGCGGCGGAGCCCGTGGCGGCGTCGCGAAGCGCGTCGGCGGCGAGGGAGAAGTGGCCCGCGAGGAGGAGGCCGTGCAGCCACTCGGTGAGGGCGAGCTGCGGCGGCGTGTCGGCGCAGCCGAGCCGCACCAGCGACAACATGTCGTCCCGCGCCTCTTGCCACGCCCCGGCGTCGCCCCCGCTGCCATGCGGCCGCCGGCCCACCCCGCGGGCGATGCGGCGGAGGATCGTGTGCGCCCGCTCCGCCGACAGGCCGGCCGCTGAGTCGCCCGTCTCGCGGAAGGCCGCCATCGGCACCTGCAGCCGCCAGCTCGCCAGGATGCGCTGCGCGCGCAAGTGCGAGCCCAAATCGTCGACGCGGTCGAGGAGGTCGCTGAGCGAGTCCTCCCCTGAGGCCACGGCCAAGGCGCCTCCACCCTCGCCATCCTCCTCCACGGCCGCAGCCTCCGCGTCTGCACGCCGCGGCAGGTCGGCGTAGATGGCGGTGAACACCTCGAGCGCCTCGAGGTCGGTGCGCGGGCTCGCGTAAACCGCGTCCAACGCGGTGCGAAGCAGCAGGGCCGTCGGCCTGACCAGCCGCCGCGGCGGCGGCAGAGAGAGGCGCGAGCAGCGCACAGCAGCAGCGGCGAGCAAGAGCTCGCCCGCCCCCTCCAGCGGCGCCGCTGCGGCGACGTCGGCGCCAGCGGCGCCAGCGGCGGCCCTCGCGGTGCCATCCACCGGGCCGCGGGCGCACGCGGCGACAGCGGCGTCGCGGAGCAGCGCCGCAGGCTGCGTCTCGCGAGCGAGCGACGGCCAGATGCGGGCCCGAAGCACCTCGGCGTATGCGTCGACCGCGTCGGCGCTGCTCCGCTCCGCGTCGGCCGCCTGCTGCTCGCCGAGGTCGAGGAGCAGCTGCAGCCGGTCGGCGGCGCTCATGCCCTCGAACTCCTGCAGCGAAGTGGCTGCGCCGAGCTCGTAGACGAGCGGCTCGAGTTGCCGGAGCCGCCCGAGCAGCCTGCGGTGGCTCGCGGTGGCTAAGCGGTGGCTCGCGGTGGCTAAGCGGTGGCTCGCGGTGGCTAAGCGGTGGCTCGCGGTGGCTCGTGGCTATCGGCCACAGCGAACCTCGATAGGTCGCCCCCTCCCTCTCCGTCGCCCGACCCGTCAAAGACCGCCACGCTCTCCGACCCAATCTCGGCGAGCGTGATGGCGTGGTCCAACAGCCCGCTCCGCGCCTCGATCTGCCGCACGCGCGCGCACAGCCACGCGCACGCCCCGACGCGCCCCGCGTAGGCGATGCGGCCCGACCCGCCCCCGCCTGTTCGCGCCCGCTCCGCCGCGACCTCCTCCGCCTCGGCCTCCTCCTCCGCCGCCGCGGCCGCCTCGCCGCCTCGAGAGAGCGCCCTCTCTACCGCTGGAGACATGGCGAGCCCCCGCAGCCCCTCCGTCTCTGCGCCCGCCTCGTCTCCGCCGTCGCCCGTGCGCAAGACTTGCTCCAAAGCACACGTAACGAGGGGGGCGTAGTCGGCCGGGTCGGCCACCTCGGCCACCTCGGCCACCGCGTCGAGCACCCAGCCGCAATCGCGGCGCGGTGCGGCCGGCGCCGCGTGCGCGCGCAGCAGCACGGCGAGGGCTGCGTAGCGGCCGCTCTGCGCGAGCGATGCGGCGGCGGCGGTGAGGTGGGCGTCGCGGAAGGTGGAGTGCGCCGCCGTGTCCAGCCTCGCGTCGCCGCCCCCGCCGCCGGACGCCTCCGCCTCTGCCACCGCGATGGCGCGCCACACGCGCAATCGCTTGCGATACCGGAGGAGCCTCCGCCGCCACGCGGCAATGTCGCGCCCGCTCAAATCGACGCCTCCGCCTTTGCTGCCGGCGCCGACCTGAGCGGTGGTGGCGTCCTCCGCCGCGGCGGCGCAAAGGGCGGCGTCGCACCGCTCGACGCCGTGGTCGAGGAGAGCGGCGAGGGCGTCGGGCTCGCTGGGGATGCGCGAGGCCGCCTCGGCCAGCACCCACCGGAGCGAGGTAACCTTGGAGAGGTAGTCCGAGATCGCGACGCGGGAGACCTCGCTCTCGCGCCACTGCGCCTGCCGCACCCCGTCGGCGCAGAAGCCGTAGGCGCGGGCCCACGTGAGCGCGTCGCCGTACTCGCCGAGGTCGACCTTGCGCTTGAAGAGCGCCTGGTTCAGAGTCACTCATCGCTGAGGGATCGTGGTTGAGTCGAGGTCGACCTTGCCGCTTGAGCAGAGCGCCTCGGGAGTGGTGCGACGCAGCGAGTGCAGCTCCCACGCCTCGACGCGCCTGCGGCACACGTCCGGGACACGTCCGGGACGGGTCGCGGACGGGTGCCGTGGAGTGGAGCTGCAGCGGCTCGGCGGCGCCTCCGTGGCTCTCCCTCCCCCTCGCAAGCCGCCACCGCGTGCGCCTCGCGGGTGAGGACGAAGAAGGAAGGGGGGTCGCCGCGAGGCGCAGAGAGAAGCGGCAGCGGCGGGAAAGACTCGGGCCGCTCCCCGAGCAGCTCGCGCAAACCGCTCGAGCCGATCGACGAGACGGAGACCGCGCCGTCGCGCTGGGCGAGCACGAGGGCGGCGCGGCCCCACCAGTGCACCGCCAGCCACTGCGACGGAGAGCCCGCGCCGCCGCCAGAGAAGAGCGCCGGCGCCTCGGGCACACGCCGGACGGCGGCGGCTGCGGCGGCGGCCCCCATGGCTGCGGCGGTGTGGAGCGGGGTGAGCTGCCACACGGAGAGGCCGCCTACAGCCGCGTGGTGGCGGTGGGGCGGGCGTGCCATCCGCGGCAGTCGCCGAGCTGCGGCGAGGCTGCGCCGTCGAGGCAGAGGGCCGCGAGCTGGTGGCCGCCTAATTAATTATCAATTATTAACTAATTAACTATTGACTAATTAGGCAGAGGGCCGCGAGCTTGTGGCCGCCGTCCGAGAGGGCGAGGCAGTGCGGCACGCCCGAGCCGGAGGCGGCGGCACGGGCGCGGCGCAACGCGGCGAGCGGCGCGGCGGCGACGGCGGCGGCGCGGGAGGCGCGAGGCGGTTCCGCCGTCGTCGCGAAGAGGAGGCGCGCGTGCGGCGCCTCGTCGGTGATTGCCCAGAGCGAGAGCGAGGGCAGCGGCCGCCCCTCTCTAGGCCCATCTCCGCCGCCCGCTGCCGCCTCTGCCTTGGCCAGCACCAGCGCCGCAGCCTTGGAGGGAGGCGCTCCGCCGCCGCCGACGGCCAGGATGCCGACGCCGCCGCCGCTACCGCCGAGGTCGGCGTAGGCGAGGGAGGTGACGAAACCGTGGTGGGCGGGCGCGAGGGAGAGCGGCGGCGCGGCGTGACGCGGTGTTGCGTGGCGCGGCTGCTCGGCGGCGGCGGCGGGCAGCAGAACGCGGTGGAGGAAGCCGGCGGCGGAGAGGAGGAGCAGCTCGGACGGGTGAGAGCCCTCCGCCCCGCCCAGCACCCCGCCCGCCGACCTGCCGCTCCTACAGGAAGGTTCCGAGACGGTTCCGGGGAGGCTTCCTCGCCTCCTCGACCCAGCCCAGAGGATGGCAAGCTCCGAAAGGCCATCGCGAGGAGCGGCGGGGCGAGCGGCGGCGCCTCCTCCTCCTCTGCTTGCCCCGCGCCGCCGCTCGCGTCAGGGCCCGAGGCGCCGCTCACCGAATCGCCATCGGCCGAGGCTCGGTCCGCGGGGGCTCGTTCCGCCCACCAGGCGTGGGTCAGGGTGTGGAGGAGGCGGAGGCGGGCGTCGAAGACGGCGACCGTGCCGTCGGGCGCGGCGGCGACGAGCAGCGCGCCGTCGCCGCTCCACTGCAGCAGCCGGCGGTGCTGCAGCTCTCCATGCGGCTCGCAGCGCCACAGGCCGACGGGGGCGGCAAACGCGTCGCGGTGCGAGAGGAGCAGCAGCGCGGACGACTGCCAGACGGCGAGCAGCCCGCCCGAGGGGGAGTGGGCGATCCGCCAGCGCAGCGCCTCGCGCAGCAGCGCCTCTTGCGCGTACGGCAGCCTCCGCTCCAGCGCCGACCAGCGGGGCAGCAGCTCGGGCGCGCCTCCCGCCGGCCAGCAGAGCGCCTGCTGGGCGAGCTCAAAGGCGAGCGAGACGGCGGGCGACTCCCACACGCGACCCGCCAGCGCCACCGCCGAGCGCGCCAGCTCCTGCGCCTTGGCCGCGTCCAGCCGCCGCGTCTCCGTCGCTCCGGCGGCATCGGCAGCGCTGCCGCCAGCCTCCGCGGCCGCCCTCGCAGAGTCTGCGCCACCGGTGTCCGATGGCGGCAGCTCCTCGCCCACCGCCAGCTCGCGCACCGTCAGCCAGCCGCCGCTGCCAGTCTCACCGGCCGCCGCCGACGCGGCGGCGGCGGCGGGCGAGGCGGGCTCGTCGGCGGCGAGTGCGGCGGCAAAGTCTGTGGGCGCGAGCCGCTGCTCGTAGCGCCAGCCGTGGCCGTGGACGACGAGCTCGTAGAGCTCGTAGTCGGCGGGGCTGGAGGCCGGCTCAGCAGCGCCGCCGCCGCTCGAGGCCATGGGCTGCGGCGTTTGTGCGGTGTTTCGCTTACCCGGGTGAAAAGAATTCAGGTGTGTGCAAGATTCCTGGCACAGCATGGGCGACTGGCGCGCACTGGGGCCAGGTTACACAGATACACCAAGCGGGAGAGCCGCGCAGTGTCCGCTCTGACCTCTGAGCGGCCTCTCGGCGGGGGGGCGCGCCGGTCTGATGGATAACACTGAAACACGGCTGAAAGTGAAACACTGAGCGCGCAATTCACACTCACCAACTGGGCTATCTCCGCTTGCGGTGGCACATCCTGCGGTGGCGAGGCGTCGCCGTCCCGGGGCGCGTCACGCGTCACGCGTCACGCCACCTTGCGCTTGGGCGCGAGCGCGTCGCCCTGCGGCAGGCAGACGTCGTTCATCGCCTCGGACGCCGAGGCGGTGAGCATCTCGAGCTCGTCGTACTTGACGGCCCAGCCCTCGAAGCGGTCGGCCGGCGAGGCGGCCTTGGGCGGCGAGGGCGGCACGGGCGACCCGTTGGCACGCCCCTCCCCGTGGCGGTCCTTCTTGCGCAGGTAGAGGTTGCAGAAGAGGACGAAGAAGAGGACGAAGTAGGAGGCGTACATCAGCAGCCCGAGGAAGGAGTTGACGATTGGGACGTAGCACGTCTGCCCCCTCGCCTGGTAGGCGAGCGAGGCGACGGTGACGGCGATGCCGACCACCATCTGCGCGAGCTGCATGAGGGTGATGAGCATCGAGAAGCGCTTGGCGAACCGCTTGCCCGCCGGGCCGCACTGCGTCAGCCCAAAGTACGCATACATGACCGCGTGCACCGAGTAGTTCATCGCCGCGAACCAGATGCCGGTGCCGATCCGCGCCGAGTACGAATGCCAGCAGTAGAGCAGCACCGTCGCATGGTGGTACCAGTGCAGTGTGATGACGGGCGCCTTGCGCAGCAGCAGCAGCAGCGTGTCGATCAGCTCCGCAAACTTGGAGTAGATGAAGGCGGCCACGAAGAAGCCGACCCAGCCGCAGCCATACGAGGAGGCGTGCGAGCAGATGCTCGCGTGGAAGCCCTCGCGCAGCAGGCCGCTGTCGGGGTTCGAGAGCAAGTGCGGCACCACGACGGCGGCGCCCGCCCACGAGAAGGCCGAGAGCCCGAAGTTCCACAGCGCCGTCAGCCGCTGCAGCCGGATCGGATCGCGGGCGGCCATGAAGGCTTGCATCGCAGGCACGCCCGCGAGGTAGAGGCCGACGGCCACCAGAGGGTACTGCCAGTTGTGCGACGTCCACCTCGTCCACGAGGCGCCGTCGAAGCCGTCGCACCTGCCCACAGCAGGACGTGTGCAGAGGCGCCGTTCACACCCCGTGCCGGCGGGCGCCGCCAAAGCCGCCGCGCCGCTGGTGGGGGTCGCAAGCCTCGCTGAAGGCCGGGTGCAGGTGGTCGCGCGCCGGCGCGGCGACCGCCTCGCTCAGGTTGAAGTAGAGGCACTGCGGCGTGACGAGCTGCGGGAAGTCCCGCTCGAGCGCGGCGAAGTAGTCGCTCTGCCGCCGCGCCGAGGGCTGGGCGGAGGCGCGCGCCGCGGCGGCGGCCGGCGTGGCGGCCGCGGCGAGCGTCTCGACGTAGGCGACGGCGGCGAGGACGACGAGGCCGAGCGCGAGGGTGCCTAGAGGAGGGCTCCGACAAGCTTCCCCGGGAGGCGTCCGGCGAGGGGATTGCGGGGCGGAGCGGCGGTGCGCCGGCGTGGAGGAGGGTGGGCGAGGCGGCCTGGCGGACGGCGCTGCGGAGCTTGGAGGTGAGCTGCAGGAGCCAGCGCAGGTTGAGCAGCCACAGCACCGCGAGCGGGACCAGGTAGAGCGCGTACCCTGCGAGCATGTGCCGCGGTGGCACAAAGGCGTACGTGGCCCAGTAGGCGTCGGTGGCGGTGAGGGCGGGCAGGATGACAAAGCGAGGGAAGGCGTAGAAGCGAACCACGAGCCACGACACCACGGCCGCCGCGGCCGAGGCGCCGAGCAGCGGGAAGGCCTAAAGCAAGGCTCCGGGACGCTTCAGGCGTCCCGGCCGAGGCGGCGCAGGCGGAGGAGGTGTGGAGGCGCCTGCATCAGCTGGCCGAGGCGGATGCCGTCGATCGGCACGTCGGTGGCGTCGAAGAGGAGGACGACGAGGGCGCCGACGCGGACGAAGCCGAGCCGCCACGCCGCGATGATGACGAAGAGCGTGGCCGCGTGGTGCACCAGCATCGGCCCGTCCTTTGCGCGGCCAGAGGCGAGGCTGCGCGCCATCGCGACGGACATCTCGGCGGTGGAGGCGAGCTGGAAGACGTAGTAGAGGCGGAGCGCGGGGGAGAGCGCCGGCTGCACCACCGCCCACAGCTGCCTCGGGTCGCTCGCCCACTCGGCGAGCTCGCGGCGCAGGGCGATGGCAAAGTAGAGCGAGGCGGCCACGTGCAGGAGGGTGCAGTGCGAGACGTCGGAGAGGCGCCGCCAGTCGCGCGGCTCGGCGGCCCACCCTTTGCCGTGCAGCCGCCGCCCGACGGCGCGGCCGGCGACCGGGGCCAGCAGGTGTATGCACCCGCGCAGCACGCCGAGCGCCACGAAAATGCCGCCGAACAGCCGCACCGACTCGGGCGACCACGGCGCGTGCTCGTCCACCTGACAGTGGCCGAGCGGGTAGGGCGGGACGAAGGCGAAGCCGCCCGCCGCATGCGCGCGGTGGAACTCGGACACGGCGGTGGAGGCCTTGACGGCGGCGGCCATAATATGTGTGTATTGTATGATGGAGCAACGCGTTTTGAGTTGACCCACAGTGCGGAGTGGAGCGCCCGCCGCGAGGACAGCAGAGCACCCCCAAAAGAACTTCCGTGCGGGCGGCATACCATTCCCCTAACACCTGTGGTAATCCCGTTGTCAGCTGTCACGATGCACCCGAAGGGGGCCCCAGCGCCAACATCATCCGTGGAGGTACAAGTGTTCGACGAGAGAGTGGACCTGAGCAACGATATGACTTGGGTCTTGGCGGCAAATGATCGCAGTGGCGTCAGAGGAGTCGTCCTTGCGCGATCCCTCCTTGGGTTGTCTGTTTTCTTTCTTTCTTGTGCGAGGGAGTTTTGTTGTAAAATTCTTTCTTTCTTTTTACCATTCCCCTGTGTCCCTGATCGTCCTTCCAAAATCCTGCTCGTGCAGGTGGGGACCTTGTCCATGTCCTCCTCCCATCCCTCGTTTGGTTTGACTGTTTTCTTTCTACCATCCTCCCGAGGGCGACAGCAAGAGTCGAACGGGCGGCGCCTGATTCAAAAGACACAGCCACATTCCTGAGACGCGCGAGGGCACCAGCCTCCTTAAAGGCAATGGGGTCTAGATTTAACAGGATATCTTCTGGTTTAAGAAATATTCTGTCTAAAACCGCGAGCTGCCCGCCCTGCAATTGCGGTGTACACCCGAGTTTCAGTTTGGCGCTTTCGGGCTGAGAGTTAACTGCCATGCGCCCCGAGCCCGACCGCAGTACGGGCTGGCTCGCTTATCTGTCGGTATCTGCGCATCTCGTGCCACGTGTCCGGCCGCGCTCCCGCGAGCCGGACGCCACGACGCAGGCTTCCGGCGGAGAAGCGGCGCAGCTGCCTGTGCCGTCCGACTCGCAGTTCGATGCGCTGCCGCGCGAAATCAAAGAGCTGATCTACAAGCAGATGCCGGAATGGTGCCTCTCGCAATGGCGCTCAATCTCAACGACGACGCGGGACGCCGTGGCCGCCGGCAGTGTGCACTTCGCCCCGCAGTGGTACGTGGCGGGGTGGGGCACCATGCCTCGAGACGCCCTCTCCTCGCTGCCGGATGTTGCAAAGCAACTGTCGACGGTTCGCGGGTGCTGCGCCTGCTGTGCCACCTGTGTCACGCTCTCATCGCACCACTGACCAGCCTCGGGTGTCGTAGGTGGAGGCTCCGGCTCAGGTCGTGGGGCATAGCTCGGGTGTAAACGGGGTCTGGGGCGGGAGCCCCAGCCGGGGTCTGGGGCGGGAGCCCCAGCGGGGTGCGGGGCAGATCCCCGCGAAGAAAATTTTGACGATTCTTAGCTCAAAATACACAAGATCTCCATCCTAAATCGCAATCTCTACGAGCATCGATCGAGGATGAAGCGCTCGTTCCCAGTGGGGATCTCCCACAGCTGATCGGGCGGGTCGGCGCGCTGCGTCTGTACGCGCCGTGCGATGCCTTGGAGCGCGACCCGACCGGACCGTCGCACCACATCCAAAGCGGCGCCGCCACCGAGCGGCGCAACCAGCTGCATCTCCACGTTGGCGTGAGGAGATTGCGGCGCGCATTCTCGCCGCCGCGCCTGCGCCAGGCATCCCACCAGCGCCACTGCTCTCCGTCCTCTAGTTAGGTGGAGGCTCCCAGGTGGAGGCGCCCGTCGCGGCTGCGCGCATCATCCATGTGACTCATCACTCAACGGTTAGCGAGCTCCGTAGGGGTGCGTGGGGGGGGGAGCTCAGCAGGGGGGGGGGGGGGGGCATTTGGGCGGTTCCCGTTCATGTAAAAAGCTCAATGTCCCAGGCAATGTTGCAAAAAACCATAAAAGGCAAGGGATACGGGAAACTTCTCCCCACACACACATGGGCATCCAACCAACCAAGGGGGCGGCGCCGCGCCCCTGTGGGCGTGTGAGCAGGGCTGGGGGGGTGGGGGCGGGGGGGGAGTCGCCTGGCGCCTTCATGAGTATCAAGCCCTAGCCTTCCCTCTACGTCCACCTTCTGGAACTTGGAACCAGGATTCATTGTACGTATTGATACTTTTAATGCTTTTGGCGTTGAGCCTCCGCTGCGACTGAGTGAGCCCGAGGCCCGTCCGAAAAATCGCGTTGGTGTCCTCAAACGATTCCACCCATGCTCCTCGCCCGCACCGTCCATGCTCGCAGTGCTGCTTATCGTACGGATGGTGGCCGGTTTTGCACGCGAGCTCCCATCTCTTCGTCACGTCGGCAGTCGGTTGTCCATTGAAAAAAGGCATCAGGTAGTGACCCGTCCATGCCGTGACCTCAGAGCGCTCGTTCACTTCAAAGGACTGAACCGCTGCCAGATAGAACGGCGTTGAAACGCCTCCCGACTTGGTCCAGCCGTCAGATTCTTTTTTGGACCCGGGCACGCGCAGTATGTCTGCGCCCGCCGCTGCGCCCGCCGCCCCGCAGGCGCCCCGGCCCCCCGCAGGACGGGGGCAGGGCGACCCGGCGCCGCCAAGAGCCGCCTCCAACCAGGCGTGCAGCACCGAGCGCCCACCTGACCCCGAGAGTGCGCGCCGCGCATCGGCAGCAGGAGTGGGGCTAGAGCGGGTGGGGGTGGATGCCGATTGAGGGGGAGCGTCTCCAGCTGCGCCCTGTGGCAGCTATCTGCAGCTGCGCCCTGTGGCAGCTAGTCGAGGGACTTGGTAGTTGTGACCCCCCTGAGTGAGGACAGGAGAGAGAGAGCGTTTTGTGGTGTTGGTGTACGTACGCTGAGGGCGCGTGCGTTACCCGCCGAAAAGTCGAGCGCCCTGCCCAAATCTCGAACACATCTCGAGTCCTCTCACGTACACACATACTTTTTGTGTGAACTCAATAACAGGCTGTGAAAAAGTGTGTGGCGTCGTCTGTACTCGCCAGCTCCCGCCTCGTTTGCGCCTCGCGCCGCGCCTCTTCCTCCAGACAAGCTCGGGTTGCGCAGGCCGCGCCCCTCGCCGCTCCCTCCCGACGCGCTGCGATGGACCGGCCGTGCCGCGCCCTCCTCCTGCTCGCTGCGTGCGCCGCTCCGCGACTCGCCGGCGCCGGCGTGATGGGCGTGCGCTTCTCGCTGCACCCAACGGTCGCGAGCGCGGCGTCGCTGCAGCAGGCGGTCAAACAGAGCACGCGCGACCTCCGCTCGCTCGGCCTGGCCGTCTCCGCCGACTCGGTCTCCTCGTGCCTGCTCGGGCCGGAGCCCGCGCTGTTCGAGGCGATGCGCGTCGTGCTCGGCCGCGCCTCGAGGCTGGACGGCTCGCCGCGCGTCTCTCTCGTGTGCCAGTTCTCGGCCGGCGACCCGATGGCCGGGTCGAGCTTCGAGCCGCCGCCGCGCACCGCCGGCGCGACGCTGGACGCGGACGCCGACGGCGAGCTGCCCAGAGGGAGCCGAGCGCAGGCGCCGCCGTCCAAGCGGACGCTGATGCGAGGTGTCGCCAGCGCGCTGAGGCGGCTGCCGCTCCAGGCGGCGGGGGCGCTGGAGCAGGCGTCGGGCGGCGCGCGCGCCAAGCGGATCGCCGACGGCCTCGCGCAGGCATCGAGCCCGGAGAGCATCGCGGCACGGATTGGGAAAGCGCTCGAGGCGGGGCCGCCGGTGGCGGCGGGCGAGGCGGCAGAGGACGACTGGGTCGCCGAGGCGTATGCGCTGCCCACGCGCGTCGCCTGCCAGTTCGCTGTGTACCCTGTCGACGGCGACCATGCGGCGGCGCGCACCGCCGTGGCCGAGCGGGTGGCGGCCTCGCCGGCGGCGCGAGGCGGCGACGTGCTCTTTTGCGAGACGCTGGAGGGAGACGGCGCCGAGGTGATGGAGGTGCTGCGCGACGCGCTCGCGGTGGCGCGCGAGTCGAGCAGCCACGCCGTGCTGCACGCGACGCTGACGACCAACCTGCAGAAGAGGAGGCGGTAGGTCCTGTGTGTTAGTCGTGGGGGATATGGCTCACTCTTACTATACCTTCTCGCAGCTGCGAGACGAGCTTTCTCTCGGCCGAGCGACAGCCTCAAAATAAAAAAGTAATACATCTTTACTTCCAAACACCCGGACGTTCCCAGGGTGATGGAAGGTTCGACGCACCCCCGGACTGGGGGCGGAGAGGTCCTCCAGGAAACAAAGGCCTGGGCTGTCCGCCCCGCCCCCACTTCTCTTGCCCTGACTGCACAGGATAGCGTGCCCCGACAAACGGCGACACATAGTGGGGGACACTGCGCCGGGGGGTATGCCTACTTTGGTGCTTTGTGTGGGTCGCGTTCCCTTGGTAGCTGTGTGGCTGAAGCCCTCGTGCCGCTGGCGTACGCCCACCCCCCCCTCGGAGGTGGTTCCCCCAGCGGCTGGCCCCTTGGGACTGTTGGTGCTTGGCGGGAGGAGGGGGAGAGGGAGGCCCGGTGGGAGGAGAGGGAGAGGGAGGCCCGGTGGGAGGGGAGGGAGAGGGAGGCCGCCTTGCCCTTGGGCTCTTCTCCTCCCCCTCCCTGGGCTCTTCTCCTCTCCCCTCCCTGGGCTCTTCTCCCCTCTCCTCCCTGGTACTCTGGGCCTGATTACCGGAGCGTCTGCTGGAGAGCAGACGCTGGGGGGACTCTCGCCCGGATTGCCAGAGTGTGGCAAGCCCTTGCCAAGTGCTGGCAAGCCCTTGCCAGAGTGTGGCAAGCCCTTGCCAAAGTGTGGCAAGCCCTTGCCAAGTGGTGGCACCCCTTTGCCAGAGTGTGGCAAGCCCTTGCCAGAGTGTGGCAAGCCCTTGCCAAGTGATGGCACCCCTTTGCCAGAGTGTGGCAAGCCCTTGCCAAGTGGTGGCAAGCCCTTGCCAGAGTGTGGCAAGCCCTTGCCAACTGCTGGCAAGCCCTTGCCAGAGTGTGGCAAGCCCTTGCCAACTGCTGGCAAGCCCTTGCCAGAGTGTGGCAAGCCCTTGCCAAGTGGTGGCACCCCTTTGCCAGAGTGTGGCAAGCCCTTGCCACGTGGTGGCACCCCTTTGCCAGAGTGTGGCAAGCCCTTGCCACGTGGTGGCACCCCTTTGCCAGAGTGTGGCAAGCCCTTGCCACGTGGTGGCACCCCTTTGCCAGAGTGTGTGGCAAGCCCTTGCCACGTGGTGGCAAGCCCTTGCCAGAGTGTGGCAAGCCCTTGCCAAGTGCTGGCAAGCCCTCGCCTGCTCTCGCACCTCGGCGGCGAGATCGAGGCGGCGCAGAGCAGTGGGCCGGAAAGTGGACCCGCGCCATCTGCGAGCCAACCGAGGGGCATCTCTGGGAGGCGGACCACATCAGGGAGGTGCGGCACGGCGGCGGCGAGGCGGGACTCGCCAACTTCCAGCCGCTCTGCGTCGCCTGCCACCAGCTCAAGACGAACCGCAACTCAGCGGCGGAGGCGAGGCGCCGCCGCCAAGCCGCCTTCCAAGAGCGCGAGACGCCGCCGTCCAGCCCGCCCCTCACGCCCACGCAGCTGTCAGCGGCGCGGAAGCGTGACGCATCGGTGGGCAGCGCGGCGGCCGACGAGCCGCGGCGGCGGCGGCGCACGTCCGCGCTGTTTTCGAAGTGCGTCG